TTACTGTTAGTTTCTCACCACAAACTTTCCCAAAAGTTTTACAATATTACTGAGCGCCAACAGCTCTTACCCCTCACAGCCTGACATGACCAAATAGAAAAAGCCAGTATAATAATCTTCATCTTTTGCTCTTCTTCCTCAGATCACAGCATAAAACCTTCCGATTAACCACAGATGCACGTTAACGAACAACAAGATGCTTTGTTTATGAGCAGCGTTAATGATTTACCTTTATGCCTCCCTTTACCAGAAACCACGAATCTAGTGCAAGATTTCGTCATTGCAGATTTCGTAACTCCAAATGCTAATGTGCCAAATTAAAGAAATTAAACAAAAGTAGAACACATTAAAATGTATTCACATTCTGAGTTATTTATTGAAATTCCCAGCAGCATTTTTGAGTTTTGATAAAATAGGGATTGCAGTGTTATGACTCTGACATTTACATTCATATTGACTTACGAATTTCTGTGTATGCTTATTTTGGGTGAAAACTCATGTTTATTGAATGTAAACTAACAAAAAAACTGTGTAATCTCTTCAGAGAATTAGTATTTGAATGCATTTTAATATTAACAAATCTACAATTTTATACTGCAGCAGTGTGAATATTAGAAGTAGCTACGCTGTGTTCATATCATGTTAAGGAAGGAAAATAAAAATGGCAAGACTATTAAGCAAAGGAAATGAAGAGGCAGAAATTTCATCATTTAATCATAAACTTTATTGATTCAAATCTGTTTTCTTTATTTATGTAACAATCCACCATCTTCAACTCATCTTCTCACAGGAATTATTTTTAATTTTAAATCTTAAGTGCTCCAGATTTACAGTGTTATTTAAAGTGTAAATCCTTCTTGTTTAGTTCCACTGTAGTTACTAAACACTAACAGCTGAATAATACTTCGAGAATTAAAGAGTTAAACCTCCAACACACAGTGAGGCTGATTGGCTTTTTCTTCTTAGCAGATTTTTAAAATATGCTTTGGTTAAAAAACCAAGCATTTATTCTGAGAAGGAAGATTCCTGAACAAAATTTACAATGCAAAATTTTTTATTAAAAAAAAAAAAAAGTTCTTTCAAATCAACATCGTTTTCGTGGTGTTAATTTCAAACTTTGTTTGGTACAAAAAGTTACCAAACACAGTGATTGCAGGTGTAACAAGTACCCGGTATATTATCCTGAAAACCTTCTTTCCTAGTCTAAACACCTAGGATAATCATTTATGCTGTGACAAGGTAGAGTGGATACCAAGGCATTGTAGTAGAAAGTGGTAGAAAGCTTTATCGGTTGTATTTATCAGTTGTGGGTCAATCAATGTAAAATCACCAGAGGCCTCTTGACTGACCATCTAAGATTAGCTTCATACTTTCTGGAAATAATGTCTCTGTTCCCAATAAAAAGTGTGCAAAATTTCAGACTTGCATCTGCATTGATTTCTGAAATATACAGGCTTTAAAAAGTGGGCATGGCCCCATAAAGGTGTGTGCTACAGAAAAAGTTACAAACTTCCATAAGTCATTACTTTGTGCTATCGATGCTAGAGATATGAAATTTTTTTTGGTGACTAGTATAAGATGTCTTTACCATCTAAAATAGTTTAATAGTAATAAAATGGTACAAAGGTAAAATTTGGTGTTCTGCAAAGTTTTCTGTTTTAGGCCCACTGCTCTTTGTATATGCTACCTCTGGGTAAAATTATTTGTAAACATGTTATTAGCTTCCACTGTTATGCTGATGACACACAGATGTATGCTTCAACAAAGCCAGATGAGAGACACCAGCTTAATAAAGTTATATAAGGAATATGTAAAGGACATTAGACACCAGATGCTTATTAACTTTCTCTTACTTAATTCTGACAAGACAGACTAGACTGATATGAAAAGCAATAGAGTGAACAGATTTAGGTAATGGGCCAATTTACACAATTTACAGTACAAAAATCACATCATTAGCAGATTTTGTCAGTAGTGGAGTTTACAGCCCTGAATATGTTGCACTATTTTGCCACCTAGTGCAGGAATTTTCCCTTAAAATGTGTGACGTTCCAGTTACATATAATGGACCTTTCATATTGAACTTTGTTTTATTTTAATTTGTCATCAGAACTGATTTTTGTGAGTGGCTTAAAACAAAGTGGTTATGTTTTGCTTCACAGTGGCACTTTACATTTTGATGCCGTGGACACTGAATAGATCAAACACTTCGGTTTTGAACTTGAGTCAGGAAGAATACATGCAAAGCCTCTTTGTCTGTTCATCTGTTCATTCATGTTTTTTTTGTCTTTTTAACAAGCCACATCGTCACTTCACTAGTTGACCAGGTAAGGGTAAATGAAATTGAATCTACAAAAAGATGTCACATTCACCCATTTCTGAGCAAATGTCTCTAGCAAGTCTGTTGTTGGTGCTCTTCTCCCCAATTTTAATCCAGGCTTGGGACTGGCACTGGGCATGCACTGTCTTACTCAACCCCAGTGGCTGGGGTTGGTTCCCTGGCCAGAAATCAAACCCAGGCTGCGGCGGTGAGAGCACCAAGGCCTAACCACTAGCCCTCCAAACACCCTCCTGAAGTGAGTCTCTGACAAAAATGCATGTGACTGGATAAACTGCAACAGATCTGCTACAGAAGCAGGGATGGTTCAAGTGTACAGTTGCTGAACTATGGTCAGTTTTTTTCATATATTTACTGGCTCTGCTAATGTGTTTTTTTTTTCTTTCCAAGCGTTCGTTTCAGTCTGCTGAAATACTTTGCTGGGGCTGCATAAGGAGCGGTCGTAGTGAAATAACACAGACTAGCTCTTTTTTTTCCAAAACTTTCCAATTTTAATTACTGTTTATGAGATGATTTTAATTCAGAGCCATGGCCTCAGCACAAGTGTATTGAATTTGTTTGGAAAACTGTGTTACAGTTCAGAATCCTTGTTTGTGTTTGGATGGGCTGCCTGTCAGTCATTTTGTAGATACTCCCGTATTGAAATGCCTCTTCAGTCCAGCACAGCCAGATAATTCTCCTGAGACAAAGAAATCAGTCTGTGCTTAACAAGATATGCAGTAAAACCAGAAAAAAAACATTTATTACTGGTGAAGGGGGTGAAGCTGGATGCAGAATTATGCTGCAATGTTGCATCTGGACAAGTGTGTAAATGTTATCTGTATAAAGCTCTGAACTGTTTGAATGGACTGGAATTTTTTTTTTTCCATCACTAAAAAACAAGGGACTTTTGACCATCCTTGTGAATCGGTATGAGCCAGATTGTGCATGTTCATAGTGTTGAATGTCGAACCGTGCTTGATAGTGATGTCACGGCAGTCCATGCTAATGGTAACTTAATGTTACGATCGCCAGCTGGAGTGCCCACAAACTCCTCTAGAGGGCACTCCACCTCAGACTCTAGCTATTGTTCCTGGACTCAATTTCCCATGTGTTCCTAGTCCCTCATGTGATCTTGTCATGTGCTCCATTGTCTGTGTGTCATGTTCTGATTGGATAGTTTTGTCATGTGTTCTCCTTGCCCCGGTTTAAAAGTCA